ACCACTAATCATATAGCTCCATTGATTTGGGTATAAGTATGTGCAGTAAAATCCAAACAAGGCAAACCCTAGTACCCAAACTAGCGATGTGAGAGCAAAGAGGATCAAAATCCCACCTTTCCATGCTTCGGACGAACGAGAAGTGATGTGAAATATTACGGATATGGAAAATTTAATCAGGATTACGAGAATTAATGCCGCGAGATATGGTGCTTAATTAAGGCTAATTCCAAATTGGAATCGAATTTAATTTAATTAAACAAAATTATAATGCAAAATAGCAAAAAATTAGAAGCAGCAGTGTCGTCGTCTACTTTACCTTCGCGAACAGAAAAAACCCTAGCTTTGACACAGTCCAATTGAGAAGCACCTCCGCTCTCTCTGTCTCTCTCTCCTCTGTGTATGTGCTGGGCTTTCTCTCTCTAATCTCGTATGATTTCTCTCTCTCTCTCTCTCTCTCTCTCTCACCTCCCCTGTCTCTCCTCCGTAAAACCCTCGCTTGGTTCTCTGTGAAGCTTTTTTCGAACCACAGAGAGAAACGAGAGTCTACCGTTTCCGCCTCTTGTTTTTTTCTTTTTCCAGAAATTCTGAATTTAATTTCGTGTTTTGTTAATTTTTCCAATTTTATTTTCTCACGCTTTCTTCTAATTGGAACCGGGAAAACGCACGTGCAGCGCGTGCGAGGGCGGGCCGTGACGTGGCTGGGCCGCGTGGACCGGGCGGCGAGCTCGACCGTTGAACCGTTTAAGTTTTTTTTTTTTTTTTTTGGGAACAAGATGAACCGTTTAAGTTCTGCTCGGTAGGGGAGCGTAAAAGTGATAGGTAGGTGCACCGAAGACCAAAACTGTCAATTTTGTTGACGTGGTCTAAAACTAAATACAATGGGCTGAAAAGGAGAGGGGCTTAACCTTGCCACTTTCACGGGGTCCGTCACAGTCACTTGTTGTGCACACATTGTCATTGAGTTTTGTGGAAGGCAACAAAATTGTTAGGGGGTCCCTCCGGTGAGGTCCTACTAAGAAATTGACTCATGTGAAAAAAATATATATATTGTTAATTCTAACTTTGTGGTGGAGCATGTTCATAGTATTAGGGTTTGTTTCCAAGTGTTTTTAAAATGAGTGCAATTTTTTTAGAAAAAAGTTTTTGTGTTTTAAAAGCATTTGAAGTGCTTCATGAATCTTCTAGGAACCACTAAAGCGTTTTTTTAAATTCACTTGCGTTTTTACAAATGATTGATTCTATAAAAAAAAATTCACCAAAAATGTTTTCAATCATTTTAAATAATCATTTAGTTTAAATTGAAATTTCCATTAAATTTCATCTATAAGAAGGGGAAAAAAAATCCTTCCATTTCATTTTCTATGATCAACAAAAATAAAAAATAAAACGCTTAATTAGCTACACTCCTCTAGAACTTCATTTTGATCTCATTTTGCCCCTATAACTCAAAAATCACAACTTTATTCCATGAAACTCAAAATCATTCCACTGTAATTTGTGGACTCTCTTTTCTTTTTGAAACTTAAAGGTCGCCTCATAAAATATATATAGGACCCAACATCCAATAAAACTATGTCATATTTACAACAAATTTAATTATAAATTTTCTTTATGAATTAACATTTAACAATAAAAAAAATTATTAAATTTTAAAAAAATTAAAGAGATAAAAATTAAAAATTAAGAAACTGCGGACGAAAGTTTGAATTTTAATTTGACCCTGGACACGGTCAAGCTGCCAACGTATTTATTTGAAAAATAAACATTGACCAACTTGCCAACAAATTTGTTAGTGAATAAACAACAATAAAAAATAAAGACCTTGGCCAAATGGCGTCATTTGGTTAATGACCTCTTGAAAAAATCACCATCACTTTCGTTGGCAAACCATTTTCATTTTTGTAATAAACTATAGGGATGTGATATCCACACACATTTTTTTACTTCTTCCACATCTTTTTAGTTTTCGGCCATCAGATCGGAAGAATTGAAGAAGATCAACGGATATAAATTAACAAATGATGTGTAAGAAGTAAAAAGAAGTGTGTGGATAGCACACCCCTAAACTATATTATCTATACTAAAGGGATGAGTGAATGGCTAATTCTTATCCTGGTATAGTCATAATAATGTGATTCAACTTCTTTTTTGGCGAGAATCGAATCTAAAACATCTCACACTTACAAATGAAGAAGAATATCTCTAGACCATAGATACAAAAGAATTTTGTAGGCGTTGGCTCTCGTATTTTGTAGATGTTTCTGTATAGAGGTGTGCTATCCACCCATTTTACTTTTCACACACCCCTTGATCATTTCTGTCTGTTGATCTTCTTCAATTCATCCGATCCGACGGTCGAAAATTTAAAAAGTGTGTGATAAGTAAAATGGGGTGTGTGGATATCACACCCCTCACTGTATATAGCATTCAAGAGATTGTAAAACTAAAATCAAGTGTCCCACAACATTAAGTAATCATGTTGGACAATTACAGGTGAAAAGATTAGTCTAATCAATTAGGATTGAGACGTTTGATGGAATCAAATATCCCATTATTTTGTCACTGATCAGTTTTTCAAATGCCCCATATGGATCTAAGGTCTCTCTCGTTTCGATAATGTTACTTGTAACATAACATCTTAAGATATTCAATTTGACTAAACAATTTTAAGACACTTGGATCTCGTTTGGCAGCCCGTATAAGAAATCGAATAGGTTAAGTTATACAGAGCCGGAAGTTTGGTGCAACTATGTACTAAATAATACCCGTATTACTTAAACTAGGCCCACATCTTTTCTACGGTGTATGCTCGCTTATTTATCCTTCATAGACCTATCTATTATTTAGTCGGGTCGGTGTCCTCGCTCTATCGTCTGGCTCTCTCGCATCGTTCTACAAACTCACTTCCGTTGCCATCGTTAATCCCAGGTTCTTCTTGTTGAGAGTTGCCCCACATTGGTGAGGGACAAGGTTTGCTATGTGCTTATATGATATTAAGCTACTCCCTATATTGCCAATTGGTTTTATGATGAAACCTCAATTTCATCGTGGTATCAGAGCAAGGTTGTCCACTTGTGAAGCCCAACGGCCACACGCGCTCCACGTCACCCAGTTGTTTCAACGTGTAAGCTTGAAAATCCACCACATATGGAGGGGCATGTTGAGAGTTGTCCCAACAAGGTTTGCTATGTGTTTATATGATCTTGAACTACTCCCTATATTGCCAATTAGTTTTACAGTAGAACCTCAATTTCATCACTTCTTCGCCCTTCTCCTTTCTTCTTATTCATTTTGCACTTCATAGCTGTCGCCCTCCTTCTCAATTTCTCGTCATGGTTGTCACCCTCCTCTGCAGTTCATAGTCACGAGACCCGCACGGGTTTGCGTGCCATCGATCTTGTATTTGAACTAGATCCGACTGAAACCCACGTCGTCGGAGCACCGCCTGCATTCACCTACTGCCCAACATCATTGTAGCACCGTTGGAATTGGGTTGACTCTTCATGGAAAGAAATGCGAGAGATCAGGGAGCAATCTCACATGCATAGAACATTTGGGACGAAGTCTTATGCTATTAGGTATAGGGTCTATGCTGATTCTGCTGTCCATCCCATTTGATGTGGTGAATCCTGGGGAATCCTATGCGGTGGAGAAGATATGGGGAAGAAATTATTTTTTTTTAATTTGATTTAAATAAAGGACAAATAGAAAATGCAATATCAATATTATTTTTATTTAATTTGATGCATTTGGTTGTTGTGAATTTTTATCCAAAAGAATTCCTTTTTTTCATTAGTCATCAAATTTTTTAGTCAAAATAATATAATCCGATCTCTTATCCGATACGGTAATAAACAGATTATAAATATATGGTCATTAGTACGATACTGCACCAAACACCGATTAATTTAGTCAGTACAGTCCGGTGACAGATTATCCTATCTGACTGAAATAGTTAGTACAATTCGAGTTGTCAAATGAGGCAACTATTCGAATAAGGCAACACTCACAGTGAGTGAGGTTATGTGGAGTCGAGTGTGATTAAAATACAAAACACTTGATTTTTTTAAAAGTGCCCTAAAATAACATGGTTATAAACGAATACCCGAATTTTTCTCGTATGATAGAAAGGTAATTCAAGCATGTAGACAATTTTAAGAGATAATAGAGAAGAAACAATGAGAGAGAATGCTAACAACTTTACTTGTGGTTTCTTAATCTCATCCTTTGCTTCCAAAACACCGGAATTTCTTGGTTCACCGTCAGGAACCTCAATAACCTCGCGCTCTTTAGTTGACACAATGTTTTCCTCGGCGATGTTGATGTTGGAAAGTTCAATAAATCCTAGAAGAAACAGGAAAACTTTTAAACAAGTAAAATAAGAGAATGCTAAGAACTTTACACTCATTCGATACTTGACTTTGCTCGTCGAAAGAATACTATCTTTATTTTCATATGCAATTATGGGATGGATTACTTTGGATCAGCTGTTGATCCAAATCCAAAGTTTATGCCCCGCATATAGGGATTTAAACAGCAGGTGTGTTTCCACCCGTAGACCTATTATGCAATCGAATGTGACGGCCCACAACTACAATTACTCTTGCTCTTGAGCTTCCAAATGCTTACTTCGGAGGGATTAAAGTCGCGTTACCTACTTGTATTAGAGGAGGACAAGGGCTTTACTCTATTCCTTCCTATTTCATATCATACATAGGAACTACTATCTCTAAGTCCAGAATAGCGGCCTTGGTTCGACTCCTAGCTCGAAACGCTGCCAACTCCTTACGGAGGGTTAAAGTTGTTTACTTGCTAGCTGATAAGTCAGAGGCTTCTGAATCTCATCCTCAACAGCCACAGCACTGATATCCTATGGTGATGGAGATGAAGCAGGCGAAGCTCTCCTGATTACAACAATAAATATAGACAACAATTCAGGGAAAATAGAAGCTTAATACAAAATCCTATTGGGGAAATCAAGCAGGCAATAACCAAAATTTAGAACGATATATCATTGTATTAGAAGAATATAAGAGCCGAGAAAACGCTAATTTGTTGGTTCTAACGTAACTACGTAACAACATAGAACTTAAACCCAAAGAACAAATAACCAAAATCACATTACATTACAACAACAAAACGTAAAACGATACATTTACAACGATGAAGCAAAAATCGACTACTTGTTTATCTTTTGCACATAATTATTTCACTTTCGGGTGCTGCGCTTTTATTTACTCAAAAACATTGATCCAGAAGATTATCGAATCAAAGGTTAAGCAGGCTCGGAGTTGGAGCCGCGGGCGGAGGATTGGTGAGCATGTGCACCACTTCCCTCATCGTTGGCCTGGCGGAGCTCTCATCCTCTACGCTCATCATGGCAATCTTGAACAGGTGTACCACGCCTGCCAGTGGGTACCCGGAGAGCCTGTGGTCGACCACCGCCAGTACCGACGCTGCATCAGATGGCTGAGAGAGCTCCGATGTTGTCTTCCTCACCCATCTTACTATGTCCACCCCGTCTCCGAATTCTCCCACCGGCTTCCTCCCTGCTATTAACTCCAGCAGCACCACGCCGAAGCTGTACACGTCGCTTTTTTCGTCCACTTTCAATGTGTAGGCGTACTCTGTTCGTACCAACACATGCAAAAAGGTCAGATCACATGCAAACACATTGAAATTGAGTTGGACTGAATTCTTAGTTTGTTGGTTTTTTTTTTTATTAAAACTTTGGTAACCTTCAAAGAAAAATTGGCAATAAATACTTCAAGAATTTAATTTCATTGCTCCTGAAGAAAAAACATTTGCCAATTAACATACCTGGGGCAATGTAACCATAGGACCCAGCAACGGAAGACATGCACTCGGACGCCCCAGCATCCTGCAAAAACTTAGCGAGCCCAAAATCCGCAACGTGGGCTTCCAAATCCGAGTCCAGCAAAATATTATTGGACTTAACGTCCCTGTGAATAATCAGCGGCGAACAGTCGTGGTGGAGATAACACAGCCCCTTGGCAGCCTCGACGGCGATCCTGTACCTCCTCTCCCACTGCAAATGCCCCCCTTTCGGCCCATGCAGCAGCTCCCCCAAGCTCCCATTTGGCATGTACTCGTACAGCAGCAGATTCGTGTCCTTGTTCGACACGTACCCCAACAGCCTCACGATATTCCGGTGCCGGATTCTTCCCAGAGTCTTTATCTCGGCCGAGAAACCGTGGTCGTTTCGCCCGGTTCCTCGCCCGACTAACCGTTTGATCGCCACGTCAACGCCGTCCGGCATCGACCCGCGGTACACGATCCCGGCGCCGCCTTTCCCTATGATGTTCTCTTCTTTAAGGCACTCGAGGACGTCCTCTGCTCCGAAATCGAGGCGCTGGAAGGCGGTGAGACGCCACACCAAAGATTTCTGGATTTCACTCTTACTCATCCGGTAAGCCGTTATGAACAAGAATAACAGAATCGTACAGAGTCCGATGACGATAAGAGCGATCTTGGAGGTAGCGAACGGTTTGCGGCTATGGAACGACGGACACTGGACGCGGCGCGGGGAGCAAAGATAGGGGTTTCCCGCAAACGACGTGTCGTTGAAGACCAGAAACTGTCCGCCGGTTGGGAGCCTGCCGACGAAATTGTTGTTGGAGAGGTCGAGAGTCGTGAGGCTCGTCATGGATCTCATTTCGGCGGGAATTTCTCCGGTGAGTTGGTTTCTGGAGAAATTGAGAATGCTCAGGACTTTCAGCTTCGCAATTCCTCTCGGGATTTCGCCAACCAAATTGTTTCCACTGAGATCAACGGACGTCAGGGAGGAACAGCGGGAAATGGACTCTGAAATGTCGCTGCTGAGGTTGTTGGCGCTGATATTGATCTTTGATAGCAACTTTAAATAAAAAATTTCCGTCGGAATTTCACCGGAAAATCTGTTCATCTCCAGGGAAAGAGTTTGCAGACTCTTGAGATTACCAATCGCCGGCGGAATTTTCCCGGAAATGTGATTTCCCGAAAGTGTGAGGATTCCAATATTGCCCCCAGAAATTTGCTGTGGCAATTCGCCGGACAAGAAATTGTCGTTTAGCTCGATCATGATCAAATTGGGCAAACTGAATATCCCAGCTGGAATCGTCCCGGTGAGTGTGTTCTTCATCATTCGGATTTTCACCAGCGAATTGCACAGCCCGAGTTCCTCGGGAATCGGCCCGAAAAAGTGATTTTCCATTAGAATTGCCGTTTTCAAATTACCTCCTTTGCACAAATCCCGCGGAATCAGCCCGGTGAGGTGGTTTCCGGTGACATCGAGGTCCTTCAGCCTGCCGTTCCGGCCGAGGTTCTCCGGCAGCTCGAATGTGAAGTTGTTCTCCCAAATTTGAAGCACCTCGAGATGAGGAAAATCGCCTACGAACTTTGGAATCGGACCGTAGAGATTGTTCTTGTACAGATTGACCAGCGTGAGGTTCTTGAGCTCCGAGAAGCTCTCAGGTATCTCTCCGGTGAGCTCGTTGATGGAGAGATCCAGAGACATGAGCATGTTCAACGCCGAGAGCTGCGGCGGAATGCTGCCGCTGAGGCGGTTCACCTGCAAAAAAAGAGAGTGCAAGTGTTTCAAAAGGCTGAGAGTGGTGGGGATGGGACCCACGAGGTTGCAGCTGCTCATGTCGAGGACTTGCAGCGAGCTCACCGACCCCAACTCCGGCGGAATTCCGCCGTCGTAACTGTTATAGTACCCTACGTACATTTCCCTGAGATTCTTCAACCTACTTAAGCTCGCCGGTAACTTTCCGGTGAGCAAATTACCGTTGAGTCCCAAATACTCCAAGCTCTGTATCTCCGAGTAATCCTCGGGAATTTCGCCGGTGATGTAGTTCCCGCCAAGATGGAGGTGCTTGATGTTTTTGAGACTGACGAGCTGAATGGGAAGTGTCCCATTGAAGTTGTTGTTGTAGGCATCGAGGACTTCAAGGTCCGTCATCCCGAGCACGATTTCGCCGGGGAAGCTGCCGCTGAACGCGTTGTTGGAGATGTTCAGATGCTTGAGAGAGGTGAGGTTGGCCATCTCGGCCGGAAGCCTCCCGGTCAAGTTGTCGTCGGTAATTTCGAGGTTGACGAGCTTGTCCAGCAGCCCAATCGCCGCCGGAATCGTGCCGAACAGGGGAATATTCGAAACATTGAGAGCAACGACTCTGGAGTCGCGGTCGCATAAAACACCAGAAAAGAAGCAGTGCGAGGACGAAGAGTTCCAGTCCTCGAGCCCAGAACCTTTGGGGCCGACCATTGCGGCCTTGAGCTTCAACAGCGCATCGAGGTCGCGGTGTCCGCCGCAGGGGGCGGAGCAAAGCAGTAAAACGACGAAACAAAGGGGGAGAATTCGGCGGGGACTGGAGGTTACCATAATCAATTAAGTAATTTTCGTTTTTTCAGTTCTTTGTTTTAGAGGTAGCGTTTACTGGTATATATGCAAATGCGCAATGTGGAGGACAGAATCAGAGACGAAGAGGACGGGAAATTAAAAAAAGGGAAAAATTGGATGAGAGAGAGAGGCTGGCTCCAATTCTTCATAGCTAATAAGCTACGCTTGTAGCTAGCCCTCTATCTGGTAAGACTGGGAGGGCAGTTTGGGTGGTGGGCCCCGCCATACACTTATCAGTTCACGGTGCGGTTAAACCGATGGTTAAGTCTCTGCGTGTGGAGTGTAATTTCCATATTCGTACTGCTACTGTGCTACTGGTTGGACCGCAGAGGACGGGGAGATTGACGGTGTTAAAGGGGGTTGGTACCCTCTGCGATTCTCAATAGGATAGGTGTGTTTTGACGGCCTGATATGAAGGTCTCGCTCAACCTCACCCTCTTTTTTTTGTTTTTTTTTTTTTACGGTTACGGTTACAGTTAAATTACGTCAATATTTTATATTATTTTTATTTTTATTTTATTATCTTTATAAAAAATTAATATTATTTAACTGTGATCGCACAAAATAAGAAAAGACATAAGTGTATAAGAAGTGGGAGGGCGAAGAAGCCGGGTCCCTAGCTCAATGCCAGAAAATACTTGATAATGTTACTGGCGGTCGCAGAGCTATCTAATCTCTGCTCTCTCGCGTCAGTTCCCTCTCTTCTTACTTTGACGTCCTTAATCTCATTAATCCCGCCATTATCCTAATTTAAATATATTTTTCTTTTCAAGCGGCCAGCTCGTCGGATCAAGTGACTGTCCGACTATGCATTGTCCTCTCTTATTCTTTGTCTTTGTCCCGTTTGTTTCCCTTTAAAATTGTTTAAAAAGAGCAGACAGAGATTATTCTCGGACAAATTTTTACATCAAAGGAGACGAACATGGGGTAAGATAGGACCAAAAATACAAAAATTATTACTTTTGTTATGAAAGTTGTTGTATGAATAATGTCGTCTGAGGCAAAGTTGACACGTCTCTGCGGTCTTTTAATTTTTTTGGAATTTAGCGTTATATATGTGTTTCGATTATGGGCCAGTGATCAGAACCGAAGGTCGATGTGGATGCTACCTTTCTAAGAAATGAGGATCCGAATGGGCTTGGGGCAATGCTGGGCCCAGATTAAAGACTGTCTGTGTCTTTTCCTAGACGGTCAAATTACCCTCTGACTCCGTTTGTCAGTGAGCTAAAAGTCTACTCTTTCTCCTTCTCTCCTCCTTTCGTTTATTTGACCAATATCGATGGATACTTCTGCCATGGGCCCCAGCGATCCACCTTCAAATTTTGTCAGTGAGCTAAAATGTATAAAATTACTATTTTGCCATCTTTTTTTGGCAAGAGTGCGTCTCAAAAGTGAGATCAAAATTGGAAAAAAAGTGGCAAAAATTTGACAATAAGGGTTTTCTTAATATATAGTATAGATTATTACCAAATATGTTAACAGTAATGATATTTATTTTCATTTGTAATTAAGATGCTTTAAGTTCGTTTTGCATGAATATTAATGATGTATTATTATATCTGACTCTAATAATAGTGATATCTAAACACCTATTTTTTCCCCTCACTCATCTTTTTTAGTTTTATCCATTAATCTACTTCAATTCATTCGATTCCTCAACCGAAAATCAAGAATGGCATGAGAGAGATAAAAAATGACTATGTGGAAAGTACTATCCTACCCCAATAAGTGTGCAGCCTATTGTGTGCCTACCTCAATTCTCCATTCCCTTTGAATATATTATCCTTTCCCCTTCAACAGAACTACGCTTTTAGGTAAATCCTCGTATGTAACAGAACTAACATAAAATTGTATGAGAGCAAAATTTACCCAAATTTTACCCGCAAGCTCTCGCTTTGATTCCAAACCATCAAATGAGTGTGCTAGGAACAAAACGAGTCCCCTCGTAGACTTTTTTTGCAAGAATACTTGGTTGTGGACTTTGTAAGAAAGTAGGCTTTTAGGGATATGGACCTCTTTTTGATGATACGATGCCAAAAACGAAAGTGATGTTACTGTGACAATTGGGGTGGGGATGTTTTGATAGCCTCACAAATTGTCACAACAAGGACGGCAGCATCGATTCTTTGTCATTTGATCCAAGCTCATTTTTCTTCCACTAGTGTTTTGGTAACACGTTCATGTTAGTGGATGAATTCTCAATTGCAAGATTCTATAAGTTCTGTGTTGGAGAATAAAGATGGTTATTTTAGTATCAATAATGTCACTTATATTAATATTATGATTATTATTGTGTTTAGAAAAATTAAAACTTTTTAGGATGGTTTAAAAAAGTAGGGGAATTTTGTTCTTGATTGGAGGACGTTACGTAGTTTTGAATTGTAGGGACTGATTTATAAGTTAATATTCGTTTTCCTTTACTACTAAAGTACAATGGTTATATTCTTTCTCAGCCTCAACGAAGGGACTCAATCCATTTGACTTGTAGTTTTGTAGCATAAAAAATCATGCTTATTTTTGGACCAGGAAATAGTGGTATAGTTTGCCGTATTTTTTTTTTTTTTAACAAACGATATCATCGACACTAAGGGAGTGGAGGTGTGGGCCAAGTCTCATTATAACCTAACCATAATAACAAATGATATCATCAACACTAAGGGAGTGGAGGTGTGGGCCAAGTCTCATTATAGCCTAACCATAATAATATGGTTCAAATTCGCCTTTGGCGAGAATTGAACCTAAAACCTCTTACTTATAAGTGAAGAGAAATATCACTAGATCGTAATCCTAGGTGGCATGGTATGCCGTTTTAAGTTATAGGTGTCCATCTTATTGAGAGAATTCGTGTTCAACAAGTTATATATATATATATATATATGTATGTGTATGTATGTATGTATGTATGTTTGTGGTCATAACGAGAGATTCTAACATAAAAGTGTAATATACGAGAGTACCATTAATACGGTGATCAACTCTTGTTGTACTAAAGAATTACCTATCTGGTCTTTGGGTTACATGACCTAAAATGATACAGCTAATAACATGGCAAATATTATCTCAACTCCTTATGCACTTGGAATATGGGGGATTATAACATGCAATGTGAGGAATGCTAATACGGTGATCAATTTTCGTTTGTATTCCAAAATTATTTTTACAACTTTTATCACGTGACTAAAAAGATATAACTTATGCACAATAAATTTTCTCACTTCTTCACGTAACATATTCAAATAGGGGTGTGATATTCCCACACCACTTTTTACTTCTCCCACGCCTTTTGGTTTTCGACCGTCGGATCGTATGAATTGAAAAAGATCAACGGACATAAATTAACAAAGAGTGTGTGAGAAGTAAAAAAAAAGATGTGTGCATAGCACACCCATTCAAATATAGCCTATGACATGGTAGATTTTCTCTTTATCTCCTAATGTCATGTAATGACTAGCTATATTAACTTTTTGAACAATATCTATCTAAAAGTTAAATTTTTATTAAATAATAAAGGAGTAGACTAAGCCTCACAATAAGCTAGCAATAATATGATTAAATTCATCTTTGACGATAATTGAACTAAAACCTTTTATTTATAAGTAAAAAAAAATATTATTAGACTGTAATAGTTATCATCAAATAGTAAATATTATTGGAAGCGATGCTAGCTAAAATAATATATATATTATTTGTCTCATAAAAAAAATCCGATAGGGTGAAAAGACCGGTTTTTGAACCACATTTCAGACTTTTGAGTATTGCAGTTGGAACTGGAATAGGCGCGCTTGTTTACTTTTAGTGCATACAAAAACACACGCACATGCTTTTGCCTTTGGGAGTTGGGTCCAAACTCAAAAGAACCTTCATATTTGTCTCTCTTTCTTTCTTTCTTTCTTTTTTTTTTTTTTTTTTTTTGAGCTTTTCCCATTCAAATCATTGAGATTGAAAAGTAAATCCATTTATGCACACATTTGTTTATTCTTAATTATTTTTGTTTCATTAATTTTAAAATAACACATGAACAAGTTCACAATTATTTTGACATTGAGGCTACTAATATAAGTAAACATGCAGAGAGAATACACAATTTTATACTATAAACCGAAAACATTATAATAAGAGCAAACACACGCTTCATATAAGTTTTAGATAAGCATTACTGAGAAGAAAGCGTTTGTATTTTGGAAAGGCATAGTGCTATTTATACATTCATTTTTACTTTTTATCCATATTAATTTTTATCTACTAATTTTCTTTAATTTATTAGTTACCATGGTCAAAATTTGAAAAATTATATGAAAAGTAAAAAAAATAAATGAATAAATAGAATCGGTGAAAAAGGATCCACGACAGATCTTTTTCTTGAAAATCCTAAGGATCTCGTGATCTTGACCATTCATCGTACATCAGGTACTATTTATATTTTATTTTTTATTTTTAATTTTAAAATAATTTCTAATCGTATCACGAAATTCCTAAAATCTCCGTAGAAGGATCCGGCGATGATCTTTTTTCCCCGGTGAAAGCATATGCCTATGCCTATTCTCGCCTGCTGAATCAAATAGATAGATGGATGGATGGATGGACGGATGGATATAGATGGCATCAGGCTGTCCTTGAAAGATCAAACTTGAAAAGGACCAAACTTTTCAACTTTCAAGACAGCAAATGATGAACAGAAAATGATGAAGATGATGACTTATTGTCACCACCAGTATCTTTCAGCGTGTTCGGCGTTCAATCAAATAGAGTGTAAACTCCGCAAATGGTCACATCAGATTAAAACGGATCCAGAATATGGGTCTGAAATGGGGCCTTTTTCGACGCTGAATCCTAACCATAAAGGCCCGAGCAAGGCAAAGGAAGACAAGTCCAACTATTTCTATTGCCCAACCCAGCAGGTTTACATCGTGCTCCCGATTTTTAAGTCAAAATTTAACCAAAAAGGTGTATAATATTATTTTAACAATCTCCTATAAAATTCCAACGGAGTCTTTAAAATATTTTCAAACGTATTAATACTAGGAGCTCCTTTCTTATTCCCTAGATTTAGGAGCTCCTAGAAATTTCGCTATCTTGGAAGCATGACAAGAGTGATTGGAGATGAAAATTTTCAACTTCTCCCTACCTTTTTGTCAAGGAGCTCATTTGGGTAGCTTGTTGG